TGTGTGTGTGTGACTATGTGTGAGTGTATGCGTGTGAGCTTGTCTGTGTGTGTGAGTGAATGTGTGAAGATGTACACGAGTGGATGTGAGCATGTCCGTGTGTGAATGTTTGAGTGTGTTTTTGTGAGAGTAACTGTGTGACCATGTCCAGAGTATGAGTGCATTCATGTGGAAGTGTGGGTGCACCTGTCAGTGTTGTATGTGGTTGTGGGTCAGTGAATGAGTAGCATGTTTCTAGGTAAATAAACGTGTGAGCATGTCTGTGCATGTCAGTGAATGTGTGAGTGTGTGTGCATGTATTTGGGAGTACGTGTGAGGGAGTGAATGTGTGCGAGTGTCGGTGTGAGCCTGTTCATCTGTTAGTGTTTTTGTGAGCATGTCCATGTGTGAGTGAATGCACGAGCATGTTCATATGTGTAAACCACTTGTGTTGACATGAGTGTATGTGAGCATGTTTTTGTATTCTGTGATGTCTCTGTGTGTTCGTATGAACGCATGTTAGCATGTTTGTGTGTGTGACAATGNGAAGATCCTCTTCACATTTACCGACCATTTTTCTATTGGTTTTTAAAATATTCTTATTAATTCACAGAAATTTTATATGCACATTTTGAATATCAGTCCTTTGTTTCACAAATATCTTAGTCTACTCTGACTTATCGTTTGACACTTGTTGTAGTGGTTTGGTTTGTTTTGCAAAACGAGAGTTCCAGAAGTTTCAGCTAAACAGAATTTTAACTTTAATATAGTTAAAGTTACCAGTATTTATTTTTATGGTTTGTTTTCTGTGTCTTTTCAAGAAATCCCTATGTATTCCGAGACACAAAGACAGTGTCCACTATTGTATTTTCTTTTAAAAGCTTCATAAACCTTTCACTTTTAAGTCTGTAATTCATCTGGAATTGAGTTGTTTGATATGCCGTGATGTGGGGGTTCAATTGATTTATTTTTTATTCCAGGTGGCTGTAGTTTCCAAAACCTACAGTGTTCCTTCATGTGAGTTCTGCCACAGGGCAGAACGACTGGAGTTGGCTTATGACTCTGCTCCTTATCCCACATCCCCTGTCTCTAGCCCCATGGCTGGAACTGACACACTTACCATACTTATTTCCGAAATCTGTCCAATGCTGGAGACATAGATAGACACTCTCACGGGCACTGGGGCACCTACAATACAAGAAGACACGATTACATGCAGGGTAGGATCAAGTGTAAGTGCATGGATTCAGGAGATGGACTGCCTGAGTTTGAATGAGCTTTGACACTTGCTAGCTGTGGGACCTCTCGGAGCCTTAATTTCCTCATGGGTAAAATGGTCTCATAGTTAAGGCAGGTCAAGCACTTAGAGCAAGGCCTGGCCATGATATCTGAAAGGAAGGGGTCAGGCCAAAATAAAAAGAAAATAAGAGGATGGAACACTCTTTTTCTCAATGGTTTCCTGTACAGCAATGAGCCCCTGAAGAGCCAAGATTCATGGCTGTGTGTGAGCATGCTTGAGTGTGAGTGTGAGTGAATGTGCGAGCATGTTTGAGTGCTTGTGTGTTCTTGAGCGAGTACATATGAGTGTATGTGAGCGTGTTCATGTGTATGAACTTGTGTGTGTGTTCATGTGCAGGTGAATGTGTCAGTGTGTGCAAGCATGTCGACATATGAGTGAGTGTGAGCAGGTTTGTGTGATTGACTGTGTTGTATGGGGCAAACGTGTGAGCATGTGCATTTGTGTAGGCGTGCTGTTGTGTGGGAGTGAATAGGTGAGTGTGTTCATGCGTGAGGAGTGAATGTGTGACTGCGTATGAGTGT